TCTGACCTCCTCTATCCCCACAAGAGGAAGACAGAACCACCATCAGTAGCCCAAGAGCTATCCCTGGTAGGCCAGATATGCTGCCTCAGTCCAGCCCTTTCACCAACCCTGACACCAACCTTTCCTCCCGCAGCACCCACTACCTCTCTGCTGGGTTCGATAATTCGCTGCAGTGGCCACAGGGCAGAACTCACAGATTTGGGAGTTTGTTAGGGAAGGAACCAGCTACAATTCAAGTTCAGGAATGCGCTCAGTCTCTCTCAGCCTGCCGTCTCTCAGTCAGCAGTCTCTCTCAGTCTCTCTCTCAGCAGTGCATGTCTCTCTGTGTCTCTCTTTCAGCAGTGTGTGTCTCTCGGTGCATCTCTCCCAGCAGTGCGTGTTTCTCGCATCTCCCAGCTGGAAGTGAGAGATTCACTCTGCCTCTATGAGGGCTTCTTTTGAGCCTGGCAGAGTGGCCCAAATGAACCAATCACAACGTCAGAATTCTATACACCAGAGAGAGAGAGAGAGAAAGAGAAAGAGAGAGAGAGAGAGAGAGAGAGAGAGAGAGAGAGAATTCCCAGAAGATTGCTTCATGCTGCTTCCAACAGAAATACCCCAGGTGGATAACTTTAACAATCAGGAGCTACTCAGTTGTTCACAGGAAATTCCACTATGTAGTTTACAAAGACTTATGGCTAGAAAAGCTACATTATGTAATTTACTAGACCACACACATTAAATGATAAAACACTGAAAGCTATCCCCCTAAGATAAGGAGCAAGACAAAGATGCCTGCTTTTAACAGTGCCAGTCAGTACAGTATTGGAAGTTCTAGCTAGAGCAAATAGGCAAGAAAAATAAAAAAGGACATCTAAAGTGTAAAGGAAGAAGTAGAAGTATCTCTATTTGCATATGACATGAGACTTTATATAGGAAATAGTACAGAATCCACAAGAAAGCTCCTAGAAAACAACCTAGATGTCCATCAACTGAGGAATGGATAACCAAACTATGGTACATACACACAATGGAATACTATGCAACGCTAAAGAATAATGTAG